AGCTGATCTCAAACTGCTGGGCTCAAGTGATCCTCCCTCCTTGGCCTCCCAGAGTGCTAGAATTAGAGGTGTGAGCTCCTGCATCCAGCCAGGCATGAAATTTGAGAGCTGAAAGGGACCATGAATCTGATCTTTTAATTTTATTAGGGAGATGGCTAATGCCAAACAGGAAAATTACCTTTGGAGGATAACGTGGTTACTTAATGTTCAAGCTGGACTAGAATTCTGGTCTCTAGTCCGTATTCTTTTTTCACTATTCAGATCTGTATGTGTGGACTCTTGGGTACGTTTAACTTGTCTGGGTCTCATTTCTTCTCCTTTTTTCTTTCTCTTTCTCCCTCCTCCTCAAGTTGAACTACTTATTGTCTCTATTGAGGCCCATTCAGCTCTAAATTGTGATCTACCCCAGTGAACAATTTTTTTTTTGTGGAGGGGGAGACAAAGTCTCATTCCATCACCTAGGCTGGAGTGCAGTGGGGCAGTCTTGGCTCACTGCAACCTCCACCTCCCAGATTCAAGCAATTCTTATGCCTCTGCCTCCCAAGTAGCTGGAATTACAGCCTCACGCCACCATGCCTGGCTAATTTTTGTACTTTATGTAGAGACAGAGTTCTACCATATTGTCCAAGTTGGTCTTGAGCTCCTGACCTCAAGTGATCCACCCACCTTGGTCTCCTGAAGTGTTGGGATTACAGGCATGAGCCACTGCACCTCACCCCAGTAAACTTCTTATCAATACGATTAAATTCTACCAACTGGTAAAATTGCTCAGCATCTTCTCAGCAACCCTTAAAATAGCACCAAGAGCAAAGAGTCAAGTAATCACAGGATCCTGGCCAGGCGCTGTGGCTCACGCCTGTAATCCAAGCACTTTGGGAGGCAGAGGCAGGTGGATCACTTGAGGTCAGAAGTTCGAGACCAACCTGACCAATATGGTGAAACCCCGTCTCTAGTTTAAAAAAAAAAAAAAATTAGCTGGGTGTGGTGGTAGACACATGTAATCCCAGCTACTTGGGAGGAGGAAGAAGGAGAATTGCTCAAACCAAGGAGGCTGAGGTTGTAGCAGTGAGCCGAGATCGCGTCATTGCACTCCAGCCTGGGCAAAAGAGTGAGAGTCCATCTCAAAAAAAAAAAAAAAAAGAAAGAAAAAAAACCCTGAATACATGTGTGTCAAATAATTAATGACAGTTCATCTCATGTCTTGCATTTACGGTGGGTTTGGTGAAAATACTAAAAATTTTTTCCCCATGAACTCGGCAGATCACCATATGACATAGCTGAATAATAAACTTTGTGCCCAGAAAGGTTCTAGTAGTTGACTTAAATTCAGTAATTTAGGAGCTGCAGTCATGAGAAAGCCACCATTCTGCAGTTAGGTTCCTCCTGTACCTTTTCAGTTGTGTCTGAGTGTGGATGGAGCACTGTGATTTGAGGGTCAGGAACTCTGCTTAGATGGCAGTTAGATAGTAAGATACACTCAATAGTGGCTGTCTGCACTCTGCCTGGAACAGCCTTAGTTTTTAGCCATTGGGGCCCAGAAGGTACACTGGGGACTAGAGCCCCACCTGACCTCTTCAGTAAGAGAATCTTTTCTTTTCCCCACAAGGAAAAATCTTTTTAAAGCAGCACAATAAAAATTAGAAGGCCGGGCGCGGTGGCTCACGCCTGTAATCCCAGCACTTTGGGAGGCCGAGGCAGGCGGATCACGAGGTCACGAGATCGAGACCATCCTGGCTAACATGGTGAAACCCTGTCTCTACTAAAAATACAAAAAAATTAGCCGGGTGAGGTGGCGGGCGCCTGTAGTCCCAGCTACTCCGGAGGCTGAGGCAGGAGAATGGTGTGAACCCGGGAGGCACAGGTTGCAGTGAGCCAAGATGGCTCCACTATACTCCAGCCTGTGTGACAGAGCAAGACTTAGACGTTAGTTTTTGCCAAGTTATAAAGTTGTTTCTTGTGATACATGTGACTATTTAGATGGTTCTAGAATATAGAAGCATCTGGTAACTGACGTGTATACCTTGGTTTTACCCCAGGGAGAATGATATCTATCTGTATATATCTATGTCAGTCAAGAAGAAAGTTATCTACCATTTTTGTAACATTAATGACTTAATTTACTAGTCAAAATATACTTATTCTCTTCTGAAGCTGGCAATACGCCATTTATAAGGAAAAAGGCTAGACTACCTTTTATGCCTAGATGTAATTGATGCCTTCAGTGGGTTCAGGTTTCCTGATTTTTTTGAAAGAACCTTCAATGATCTGTTTATTCCCGGCTTTAAAAACATTTAAGGCCGGGTGTGGTGGCTCACACCTGTAATCCCAGCACTTTGGGAGGCCGAGGTGGGTGGATCACCTAAGGTCGAGAGTTCGAGACCAGCCTGGCCAACACAACAAAACTCATCTCTACCAAAAATACAAAAATTAGCTGGGGGTGGTGGCATGTGCCTGTAATCCCAGGTACTCAGGAGGCCGAGGCAGGAGAATTGCTTGAACCCAGGAGGTGGAGGTTGCAGTGAGCCAAGATCACACCACTGCACTCCAGCCTGGGCAACAAGAACAAAAGTCCGTTTCAAAAAAAAAATTAAAGCTGTTTTGAAAGAATCTGTAGTTGGTTGACTCTTCTGCAACTCCAACTTTTTATAACAAATATACACCATAAATACTAAAATTTATCAGCTGTTCTCTTCCTTTAGAAATAATGACAATATTTTAGGGCCCTTAATCCACATTCCCTTAAGGAAAAAGGGGCAGGAGGAAAGCACAGCATTAGGGGTCTGTCATCAAGTCATTGGCAAAGTAAGTGTGGCATGTGCCAGCTGTCACCCTCTGAAGCTTATGAAAAGAATGCCCTCTGACATAGAAATCACATGGAAATATCCCAAGACATGGTATTTAAAAAGAAGCCACAGAGCAGTGTACATCACAACCCCAATTATGCTTTTAACGAAAGTACCGAACATGAATACATGTGTTTGTAAACATATAGAAAGGACTGGTCCATTCATAGAAGTATGGCAGTGAGCAGCAGTTCTGGGAAGGGCCTTGGAGGGTTGGTGATGGTGCCAAAGCAACCACTTGCTACTTTCTGCATGACTGATCTTTTACAATAGAGTTCATTCATGTGCCAGAGAAGGTAGGACAGTGATAGAGGACTGAAGTGAGAAACCGAGAATCATTCTGGGCCAGAGAATGTCAGTGAGCCTTCTGCTTGCCCGGGTCTGCCTTCCAGGTCCTAGCCCTCAGTGACCTTTTCGGTGCTAGAACTGTCTCCCACTCTACCCCCTTTTTTCTATTTAGGTCAAGAATTGAGAGTAGATTTGCAAGTAAAGCAGTGTATAAGCCGGAAACGACCACACCAAGCAACTAGAAAGAGACCATTTTATGCCTGTTTTTCTTTCCCACCTGGGGTAAACTCAGGGCCATTGGAACAGAATCTGAGCAGAGAACCTGCGTGACATTGGGAAATGTGGGGACCTCTTTCTTTTTGTTTTTCATTTTGTTGTGCACTGGGGAGTTAGAAAGGGATGTATTATTAGGTGTATGTTTATGAAATCTGGGCTATATCCTCTCTACTAATTTATTATTTTCTCTTCTCAAAATAGAACACACACACACAAAATGAATACAAAACAAAACAAACCCAGAAAATAGAACACAACAATTTGGATGAATATACAATAAGTTAAAAGTTTCCAGATATGAGAGAATACATATGTACACTCATACATACTTACATAAAATTTTTAAATAGGCAGAATTAATCTATGGTGTTAGAAGTCTGCAAGGGGTAGGGGGGCAGTAACTACTAGAAGCAGGTACTGGTGGGGCTTCTGGGGCCCTGGTGTTTTCTAGTTCTGGATCTGGATGAGCGTGTTCACCTCGTGAAAATTCACTGAGATTTATGCTCAACATTTGGGCACGTTTCCTGTGTGTTAAAATAAAGATCAAGAATGAAAAAGAGGCTGGGTACAGTAGCTCATGCCTGTAATCCCAGCACTTTGGGAGGCCAATGCCGCAGATCACTTGAGGCCAAAGAGTTCAAAACCAGCCTGGCCAACATGGTGAAACCCCATCTCTGCTAAAAATACAAAAATTGGCCAGGCGTGATGGTGCACGCCTGTAATCCCAGCTACTCAGAAGGCTGAGGCACAAGAATCGCTTGAACCCTGGAGGCACAGGTTGCAGTGAGCCAAGATGGCTCCACTATACTCCAGCCTGTGTGACAGAGCAAGACTCTGTCTCAAAAAACAAACAAACAAACAAAAAAAAAAACCAGATGAAAAAGAGAGAAACTCTCCCAAAATAGTGTGGTAGAGTGGGCAGATTAGAAAGTAATTCTCTTTTTTTGGTTTATCACCACCCTTACCTCTTTGCCCCAAATCAGATCATTAACCACAAAGTCAGGGACCACTGTTTTCTCAGGGACTGGCTCATAATAGGTACTGAGTGTGACTGGTAGAATTTAATACTCAGGATAGTTTGTGAATAGTTTAGAGATATTTGTCCACTGCTTCTTAAAATGGTTTTAAATACTTCACATTTTAGAGGGTAAAGTAAAAGAGGTATATATTTCTAATGTCTCTTCCACTGTGATTTGGAAACATTAGCCAAGCCAAGAAGCCCACTTGCTTCTCTCTTGCTGCTTAGCTATTCTAAACTGTTAATAACCTTATGGGTTAAATTTAACCAAGAGTTTGACAAAATGTTTTTTGTTTTTCTATTTTTCACTGGTAGATGGCACATAAGTTCCCTCTGGAAACTTGTGGCCTTTTTCCCCGCTGCGCCTGTCTCAAAGGAAAATGTGTGCAGGTGGTGGAGGTGCGGGGTGAGGAGGGGGAGGATTATGTGTGTTGCAGGTTTGCTGCTTGTGCTGGAGCTTTACTCAGAAGTTTATAGCTAGTAATGCTGAGTAGAAGAGATGGGTGTTGCTTTGCTAAAAGATGTATCGTATAGACTGATTCCTTTTCCCAAACCTGCCCCTTTTCAACTTTCAGAGCACTAGACAAACTGAATGGATTTCAGTTAGAGAATTTCACCTTGAAAGTAGCCTATATCCCTGATGAAATGGCCGCCCAGCAAAACCCCTTGCAGCAGCCCCGAGGTCGCCGGGGGCTTGGGCAGAGGGGCTCCTCAAGGCAGGGGTCTCCAGGATCTGTGTCCAAGCAGAAACCATGTGATTTGCCTCTGCGCCTGCTGGTTCCCACCCAATTTGTTGGAGCCATCATAGGAAAAGAAGGTGCCACCATTCGGAACATCACCAAACAGACCCAGTCTAAGTGAGTATGCTGAGTGTATGGTGGGTGTTCAGGAGAATTCCCCTTGGAATCTTAGCAGTGTGTCGTTCTGGTACTTGGTGCCCTTCTGAACGCAGCCATGAGGCCTCCTTGTACAGTACTTGGGAAATGTGTAAAAATCTTGCAGTATCTTGGTGTTCATTTCATATAAATCTGGAGCTAATCCTGAGTCTCAAACGGAACCTCAGATTTTCACACATGAATGGAAAACAAATGATACCTAATCCTCTTCTGGTTGGGGAGGCTCTGGAAGACAGACAGGCAGCTTCTAGGTTGTTCTCTGTTCCACCCCTTACCCCCCACCTCCCCTCATTGCTTTTAGAAGTAATTTTCTGGGTCCAGTCCGTTTTATTTGTGGCCTCAATACAGAGATAGTTTTTCAGTCTTGCCTTACTCGAATCGCTCATCTTATTTATCCAAATTTTTCCTGTGATTAAGCCATGTGATTAGAATGGCTTTTTCTTCTGGATATTTTTTGATGTTTTTAATTGGTGGGCTTTAAGGGATTGGAAGATTCCCATCCAAATGTTGGAGCTAATTATCATGAGCAGAAAGCAGGAACTATTTGTTTGTATTTACTACTGTAGCCCCAGGGCCAAGGCCAGGGCCTTGCTGCATAGAAGGATCTTCTATTTGTCAAATGACTAAAATGACTACATGTGAATTATGCTTGAAGCCCTTCACGTGTGTCTAAGATACTTCTCAGTCCTCATGCATTATATGTTAGTTGTTTTGCTTTAGAAACCATGCTGTTGTACAGTATATGGATATTTTTTGACCCAGAGAAGCTTGGTGACAAGCTCTGCCCCCCATACCTAGCTCGGTAACGTGCTACAGGGCACATCTCTGGGCCCTGTTACTAACGTTTTTCCTGAAGAACCTGTGAATGTGCTGGGAAAAAGAGGTTGTATCCAAAAATACCATACTGTAAGCCTTGGGCCAGCTACAGAAATGACAAGATTATTTTGCCTTTTAAATTGAGAAAGGAGAATGATTTTTTTTTAATGTGATCCGACGAAATAAGCTTAATCTTTCCCTAAAAGTTAGAACTACACTGCTGTGTATACTTTATGTGTTTGTTCCAGCAGGCCTAAGAGTACATGCGTATTCATCATAGGCACCATGCCTGCATTGGACTAGCTGACCCATTTCTCATGCAGAACCAAAAAGAACTGTACTAAGAGGTGGTCTATACCCACCTGCTCCCTGCAGTGACATCTGATCCTGCCTTCCCCTGCTTTGAAGCAGGAGATGTTGGGTGCTGGTTACCTGAATGCAAAATTAATGGCCCTGACCTCATCATATAGGAGTGGGAAAGACAATTGGACCATAACCATAACCTAGTCAGTCGGCTTGGCTTTTATCTTAAAATTTAAGGTCTTCTTGCTTCCCTTGATCCACCGTTACCTGCAGAAATTCTTTATATGGCTTCCCTTCCTTGTCATGTAGCAGATTAGAATTGTTCCTTTTCGAGCTATTCATTTCTCTGTCAGATGAAAGAGCTGTGACTTAAATTGAACTGTTTGTTTTACTTAAGGCAGGAAAATGGGGATGGGGAAGGGAAGCAATCTTTGTTATATCCGATGATTCATTTGCAGAGCTCTGCCAGTGGATTTAATTAACTCTTGACATTGAAATTAGTCATTATCAGAACCTCTGTTTCTGGAATGGTCTCAGAGGGCCACTTTAATCTCCAAAGCCACATTCCCTTCTCTCAGGGGATCGGAGTTTAGTAATCCAGGCACAGTGAAAGGGTGGAAATAAACTGCAAAGAGGGATGCTAATGTGTTACTGGAAGACACGCATCACTGAAAGTGACTGGGGATTGAAACAGCAGCTGGGAAGATGACTCCTAAGATTGGGACTGTTACCTAAGACACTATTTTTTTATTAGTTATTTTTAGGTAGCCCTTAATTTGTTTCATGCTCTTATTTTTAGTTTTCTTTCACTCTTGAGGTAAAGCTTTAGATTTCAACCAAACATTTAGGAAAATGAAAGCCAAACCTTGATTTTATTGGCATGATCAAGTGGTCACTGTCACGGCCATGAGTTATTTAGGTCTTTAAGTGTTTGAGTGGCCAGAGGAACTCAACACTTAATTTTCCCAAAAACACACATTTTTGAGTAGCTGATTTTCTTTCTTGTACTTTTTAAATAACAGCAGACTTATATTTAATTCAAAACATATAAATATGTAAATTAAAAAGTTACCATTCATCTCACCCGGGTAGCCATTGGTAAGTTGGGGATGTATCTCTATAGGATTTGTTGCCTGTATCTACTAACATGTGTGACTTTAAAAAAGAAATCATGTCATGATATGAATTGCATTATTTCACTTAAGGACTTTGTACTATGTTGGTACCTGTAGTTTTACCACATTTTCAAAAACATCTGTATGATATGAATATACTATTACTTAACCATCTCTTCCTACATTTAACCATCTCTTCCTGCAATTAGATAATTCTAACTTTCTATCTGTCAGAAATGGAACCTTCCCATGCCAGTGGTTCTGAACCATAAATGATCATCTCACTGCCCCAACCCCCGTGGACATTTGGCAATGTCTGGAGACATTTTTGGCTGTTAGAGTTGAGAGAGAGGCATGCTACTGGCATCTAGTAGGTGGAGGCCAGGGATGTTGGTAAATTTCCTACAATGCAGAAGACACCCCACCCACAGCAAAGAATCTGGCCCAAAAAGTCATTAGTGCCAAGGGTAAGAAACATCGCTCTTGGCCCACGTATGAGACTGTATCTGTAGATATTACTAGGAGTAGATGTTACAGGAAGTACAGTTCTTGAGTCACAAGGTGCTCAGCATTTTGCTGAACCAGTTTGCTCTATACTCCTAGCAAAAGTGTTGAGTGTGCCCTGTTACCCATCATCTTGCACATATTTTTTTCTATCTCAATTTTTGTAAGTTTAGAAGAAAATGACATTCTTTTAACTGGCAGACATATAATTACTAGTGAAATTAAACATCATTTTGAGTTTATTGACCACTTGCTTTTCTTGAAGTGGAATTGTCATCTGTCTAGGTTCCATTCCTATCACTGTTTGTTGCAGACTTTCCTCTATCAAGGAGGCAAAATGTGGGAAGAACCTTGCAAAGGGGGGAGCAGACTGGTGAAATCTGCTCATCCAATGAATGAAGAGTGACATACTGCGCAGAATAAGCAGTTCAACTTGGCTTGTGGGATTCCAGTTCCTCTCTTGGCATGCCCTCCAGTTCCTATTTGTTTTAGAGCAGATTGAATCCAGGCTCTTTGTCATGAGACATTTGTTCTGTGGCATCTGAAAGGAAGCTGTAAGCACAAACAGCTTGGGTAGAATGAAAAGATGTCCCTGCTTGGTTGGATTGAGGAAAGAGAAAGGGGAGTGTTCCTAGAATTAAAACTTGCCTCCTAAGGCATTGATGTTGACAGCTTATTGAAAGTTTATGCTCTTGAGGGAAGTGAGTCATCTGCTTTGCCCTGAAGCCCTATGACTTTGCAATTGGTAATTACAGACTCCACTGTGAATACACGCTTACTGCTCTGGTTTTCCTCTCTGCTTGCACCCACTATCAGAATCGATGTCCACCGTAAAGAAAATGCAGGGGCTGCTGAGAAGTCAATTACTATCCTCTCTACACCTGAAGGCACCTCTGCAGCTTGTAAGTCTATTCTGGAGATCATGCATAAGGAAGCTCAAGATATAAAATTGTGAGTAAAGAAAATTGTCCTGTGAAAGAGGTTGATATTTGTGCTCTTGTATTTTTGATATCTCTGACACAATTCTTGGGAATTGCCAACAAACAAAGGGAAATGATACCTGATGAGCTACAGTGGCTGGCACTGTTGATTTGGTCGTGAAGTGTCTGTCTTTTAATATTTAAATATTTTCATTCACATTTGAACATAGGTGAGTGGTGATAACGGGGAAGAGAAGTGCAGCTATAGAAGAAGGCAACTTGGGGAACCTAGGACCAGGAAATATCCTGGATTAACCCAAGACAAGAGCCCCAAATCTTGACTCATCCTTTACTCAGAGCTCATTGGAGCTTTGTCCTTGTTCTCTGCCTGGCCCCACCTTGGAGCAGCAGGGAGTGTGGAGGTGGGGAAGTGCCTAAGTGTCTTCTAAGGCAAACTGGAGATTTATCTGGGTAATGGAGGCAGGAACTGTAAATATTTCTTCCACAGAAACTTTGAGTGAAGGTTGGGTTCTGTGCCACGTTGAGCGTACAGAACAGCGCTGCACTGAAAACAGAATCCAGCGTAAGGCACTGGAGTTAGTGTGGGGACCTCATCGCCAACCTTAACTTGTAGAGAACTTTAAATATGTTTTAGTAATATTATATGTGGGTGCCATATTATAAGAATGTAATTATTAAAGTAAAAATTTTTAAAAAGAATTATTTTAATATAGAGAAAAATAGGCCAGGTGCAGTGGCTCGTGCCTATAATCCCAGCACTTTGGGAGGCCGAGGCGGGCGGATCATGAGGTCAAGAGATCAAGATCATCCTGGCCAACATGGTGAAACCCTGTCTGTACTAAAAATACAAGAATTAGCTGGGCATGGTGGCATGCACCTGTAATCTCAGCCACTTGGGAGGTGGAGGCAGGAGAATGGCTTGAACCCGGGAGGTGGAGGTTGCAGTGAGCGGAGATCGTGCCACTGCACTCCAGCCTGGCGCCAGAGGGAGGCTGTGTCTCAAAAAAAAAAAAAAAGACAGAAAAAGGAAAAGCCGCAGTGACATTTTAAACAGTTACATATATATGACTGGGAAATTCAGAAAGCTACAAAACAAAAAATGAAAGCTCCCCTTCCTGTTCTTACGCCCTTCCCCCAAAGTGTAACCACTGTTGTTTCTTCTGTTTCCTCATATAAATTATGCACATATCTCCAGGTGTATATTTGTACTGGATGGTACTGTTTTTTATTTGTATGTTGTGTTTTGGTAGTAGGGGTTTAGGAATATGGTTTTGAGTAAGAGACTCCATCACTGAAGATATTTCCCGAAGTGAATAAAAGAAAAACTATTTTAGAAGTTAACTTCTGTACTTTTCCTCCCCTTCTATTCATGCATTGCTAGAATGCTGGCCAATTGTCAGCAAGTTTTAAGCTGTACCTAACACAGTGCTTCCCAGATGGTAGGTAGGAAGTAAATGTTTAATGAGTGAATATTGTCTTTTTACCCAAGAATAGGTTTACTAACTCTAATTTTATGACCACTTTTCTGTTTACAGCACAGAAGAGATCCCCTTGAAGATTTTAGCTCATAATAACTTTGTTGGCCGTCTTATTGGTAAAGAAGGAAGAAATCTTAAAAAAATTGAGCAGGACACAGACACTAAAATCACGATATCTCCGTGAGTGCTCCTTTGCTTTTGAATAAGAAAACTTTCAAACACTGTAAGCTGCATGTTGTGTATTGAGCTTCAGCTGCTTCAGCTAACCCGTGCTGCTGTACTTACACATGGTTTCTCAAATACAGCCTGCTGCCTGTTAGGTTTCTGACCCGTATTGAAAGCATTATCTGCTTCTGGCAGGAGGAACCAAATGCTTTACATTCATATTTTCTAAATGCAGTCTTAACTATGTTTTATGACGTTTATTCCTAAAGTTGGAATATATAACCCAGTTTATTATCCATTGTCATGTAACGCATTATCCTAACATTTGACAGCTTAAGACAATGAGAACATTAATTGCTCAGCTAGTTTTTGTGGGTTAGGAATGCAGGAGCAGCTTAGCTGGGTGGTTCTGACTTGGGGTCTCACGATGCTGCTGACAAGTTGATGCTAGCTGTTGGCAGAAAGCCTCAGTTCCTCCCACATGGGCTTTTCCACAGAGCTGCTTGAGTGTTCTCAAGACATGGCAGTTGTCAAGATGGAAACTGCAATGTCTTTTATGACATAGCCTCGGAAGTTATACTCTATCATTTTTCTAATGTTGTTTACACAAGTCAGCCCTATTCGGTATGTATGTGTGGGACTACAGATAACTTGGTGGCGGGGAGTCACCTTGGAGACAGGCTACCACACCTAGAATCTGTGGATGCTCTGAAATTATATGGAAAGGTTTTTCTTTTTCTGAGGGTGGCCATTCTTAGTTTCAATCAGAGTACTCAAAAAGGTGGGAAAAGATTGATGAACTGAGGAAGAATGGTAGGGGAAAGACTGCACAGTGTTTGTGTACAAGGAGTTTTCAAAGAAGGTAGCAAGGAAGCAGGAAACTTCTGTTTGGTTGTAAATAAAGGGGAAAAAAAGTGGTAAATACAATAAGTAATACTACTTTGTCTTAAATTTACCCCCAGAAAGGGAAGAGTTTTAAAAGCAAAAAAATCTTAAAGTTATTATAGAAGCAGCTATTTTTAAAACTGTAATACAAAATGCTTGGTAGGGCCAGGTTGAGACTGAATTAGAATTATAGACTTCTTTTTAAAGTAGTGTAAGAGAAATAGTCTTCATTATATAAATGTTTACATTTTTAGCAGGTTTGAAGAAAATGTTAAAGAATAACTTCGCATTCATCTGGCTCAAGGTTAGCCTGTGACATTTCACTAGTAGTGAAAATGAGAACTTCCAGAAGATGCAGGAGATTTGTACCAATAATCCGTATCCTCTCAATTTATGTACTTTGTTCTGTTTTCCATGGCGCATGTCTCCCATTGCTCTTCCTCTCAAGGCTGTTGACCAGCATAGGCTTAGGTGTTTTCAGGTATGATTTTCAGTGACTTGTGAAGGTTCAGCAGGACCCAGGTCCCGCAGGGAGTTTCTGGATATTCCTGCCACTATCTAACATTTTTGTTGTCTAAATGGCCATGAGTGAACCATTTTAAATTTTAGTCAAGATGGATTGATATTCCTCCAGCCTACTTCAATCTAAATTCTAAAACAACTGGTAAAAACTAAGTTTAGACATGTGAATTCTGGCTTGTGTTTTTGGAATATTTCCATGCTTTTTCCTTGCTTGGTGACCCAGAAAATGCAATTGCACGAGAATGCCAATTATGCCTAGAATTGGTTAGTGCAGACTGGGAACATACTTATGAAAGGTTATGTACTTAAGGTATTTGGTTTCCTCAAAAACTATACATCTTTTCAGTCATTTCTCAATTCACTGTTAAATTGTGAAAATGGTTCAACTATGAGCGGTTGAAAAGTAAGCTGTGTTTTTAAAACATGGACTTGAATGAACTATATGTACCCAGTCATCTTTACTTGAGAAGATGGGAGGGCAAGTATTTTCTTCTCTCTTGCAGCTTTACAGTTTTGGATTTATGTCTTTTAGGGCTTATTCATTTTCCATCATGTTTTACCCCACCCACTTTTACATATTACCAGGCTCCACAGTTTGTTTTTAATTGCCGTCTGTGGCTGAATTATTAACTGTCTTCCTCCAATTTTCATTCTTTTTCTTTCTCTTCTTTTTCATTCTGCAGATTGCAGGAATTGACGCTGTATAATCCAGAACGCACCATTACAGTTAAAGGCAATGTTGAGACGTGTGCCAAAGCTGAGGAAGAGATCATGAAGAAAATTAGGGAGTCTTATGAAAATGATATTGCTTCTATGAATGTTAGTTTTGTTATGAAGGGCATGTCTTTATTTTAACAAATAGTTAAAACAATGTTTTTAACTGCATTAATATTGAATTCTTTCGTGGCATTATCATTAGAAGTAGTTCTCGTTGATTTTTAGCACCTCAGCAAGTACCCTGGGATAGTATAGGGAAGATACTGGCTGTGACATTAAGCTTTGCTGTCTCTGTGACTTTAGCAAATTATTTAGTCTTTGAGCCTTAGCTTCCTTCTCTCTGAAGTAAGGCTGGTATCTACCTACAAAGGTTAATATAGCACCTCTCTTACAATGTTAATTTGAGAGAGTTTAATATAGAAGAAATGTTACATGAACTGTATTTGAATCACAACTGAACTATTTATGAGCTGCAACTCTATTTTCTTAGATGGTTTACTCAGTCTCTCTGAGCCTCAGTTTACTCATCTGTAAAATGGGACTACTGCCTACCTTGCATGCTTATTAGGATTACAATAGATATAATGCATATAAAAGTTAATGTTAAGATTACAGGTTTAAAACTTACTTGGTTACCCATATGAACCTTGGAGATACAAGAATTTCAATTGATAAAACAATCTGTGTAGTGCATCTGAGGCTATTAAAGCAAATTGCTGACATTCCTTAATCAGTGAAATGATGCTGAAAATGGAACTCTTCAAAAGCCTGTCCTAAATGTTAAAGTAAATTATTTTAAAAAATAATTTGTTTTTCAAGTGGGCCAGTCATCTGAAACACAAAACCTGAGACGAGGGAAATATCAAAATACTGCGTTTGTGAGAAGAGCCTAGAATGCGCACCATTTTACATCCCACGTGACTTCCTGCCAACCTCCTTCAATTCTCACTGCTTGGCTCCAAATGTTCTGGAATCCACTGGGATTAAATCTAACCCCCTTAGGCCTTTTAAAAAGATTTTCAAGTACACTCAAATCTCCCACTGTCTATATTACATCCTCAACCCTTAAAAAATTAAACAAATTAAAATCCCCTTTAAGGCTCCTATATGCATTCCAATGATATGTTTACTTGCAGTAGTTACATGGGGATGGGCCCTGATTTCCACAGGGCTCAACTTAGAGGCCTCTAGACCCATGGTTGCTAAGTTTTACCCAACGAGTAAAGATCTCTTAATAGCTGGTTTGCTTTTCAATGAACCAATCTTACTTGATTACCTCTTCAACTCTGATACATCACTTTTAGTCTATATTTAGTTTGCCCACAGCATGCAGAATACAGTTGTGTCTAAGCCCTGTACTCATAAGGGAAAGGAAAGCTGCCCTTGAGATACCTTAATGCAGCTGTGGACCAAGGAGGGGGCAAACCAGCACACAGATTTTAAAATACCAAGGGATATAAACAGATGTAAACGATGTACTCAAGTAAAGTCCCATGGAACATCTGCTTTAAGTTTGAGTTATGTGATGATTTCTTTATTAGACAAGAGATCAACAGTTTGCATACTGTCACTTAAAAATGCTAACTTTCCCTTGATTCTTTTAATTGTCAAATTAAACGGCCTTTTTACTGTTGCAGCTTCAAGCACATTTAATTCCTGGATTAAATCTGAACGCCTTGGGTCTGTTCCCACCCACTTCAGGGATGCCACCTCCCACCTCAGGGCCCCCTTCAGCCATGACTCCTCCCTACCCACAGTTTGAGGTAAGATGAGTGGCCTTGGCTTTCTTTGTGATTGGGCAAAATCTTAATGTAAACCTAGTCCCCGTGTGATCATCTGTTTAGAGCCAACATACGCTCTCCAGTTCTTGCTAATGGAGCCTTCTTATTTGGCCCTTTGTGGAGTAGACATGGGATTATTTTGAAGCTTTTGGATAGTAGGGTTGTCAACATGTGTTTTCAAATATCACAAGAAAAGTTTGGGACTTTGAGGTGGCAGGGGAAGAAACTTAGTAATTGTTTTTATTTTAATTTTTTTTTTCTTTTTTCTTTTTTCTAAGTTCTGGGATACATGTGCAGAATGTGCAGGTTTGTTACATAGGTATACGTGTGCTATGGTGGTTGTTTAAAATTTTTTTGAGACAGAGTCTCACTCTTTTGCCCAGACTAGAATGCAGTGGTACAATCTTGACTAACTGCAGCCTTCACCTCCCGGGTTCAAACGATTCTCATGCCTCAGTCTCCTGAGTAACTGGAATTACAGGTGTGTGCCACACCATACCCGGCTACTTTTTTTGTATTTTTAGTAGAGACAGGTTTCACCATGCTGTTCAGGCTGATCTCAAACTCCTGGCCTCCAGTGGTCTGCCTGCCTCAGCCTCTCAAAGTGTTGGGGTTACAGGCATGAGCTACCACGTGGCCAGTAATTATTAAATACTAAAGGAAAAGATTTTTTAAAGGCTTCTTTCATCTTTGTCACCTGGAAGTCATGGCTTTGCAAGGTCAGGAGTGACTGTGTGTGTTTTCCATGTTGAGTGTTTGCACTTTTTTAAACCAATGAGATAAGATAGTTTTGTGCACAATTAAATTGTTTGTGCGTGTGCATATGTTAAGCAGATCTTTATTTTGTAAAGAGGTATGTTATATAAGAAATAAATCTTAGGCCAGGTGCCATGACTCACACCTGTAATCCCAGCACTTTGAGAGGCCGGGGCAGGAGGATCACCTGAGGTCAGGAGTTCAAGACCAGCCTGGCCAACATGATAAAACCCCATCTCTACTAAAAATACAAAAATTTGGTGGGCGTGGTGGTGGGTGCCTGTAATCCCAGCTACTTGGGAGGCTGAGGCAGGAGAATTGCTTGAACCCAGGAGGCAGAGGTTGCAGTGAGCCGAGAATACAACATTGCACTCCAGCCTGGGCAACACAGCAAAACTCCATCTGGAAAAAATAATAATAATAATAAGAAACCTTTTATACTTGCTTTCTAAGAATAGCAGTTTCTTTGAGGTCAGAAATAGGAGACTAGTGATGGTATGAAAATAATCGCAGCACAGCAGACAGCTGGTAGAATAAATTATTTTGAAAGTAGTTAATAATTCAGTTGCATTATCCATGATAATTGGAGGTATTCATGTGACATTCTAGGATCTTCCTTCATGAATTTGTTTTTACATCTCTCCCTTTTTGTTTGGCTCTCTTATTTAATATTAATATTTTGAGTGATACCTCTTACACCAATTTAGGAGAATGTCCAGGTGGAACAGGTTAGAGATTCCATTGTATCACTACCTAGAATAAATATGTAGAGTAAAATGACGTTGAAGTTGTACAGAAAATACAGATGACTCAGATTGTGCCCCTTTTATCCCTTTAAAAATGAAAATTTCCTTTTCCCGTCCTTGAACCCACCAAACTGATAGGGGTTCTAAGCAGTTGCCCTCTTGCCGTGTGTGTTTCTGCTTTTACTGTCAGCAGCATCTTGTCCTTCCTGCAATTCACCTGCCATTTCTAGGATGTTTTGGCCTGGAAATCATATAACAGACAGAGGGATAGCCATCAGAATTTCAGCTACAAGTGAAGTGTGCATAGATTGATTACACGTCCCCTGAAGTGGCTGGCATGTTTGTACCTTGATGCTAAAGGGACTGGTGGAAAGAACCCTAAAGTCAGAGCCCGGGTCTGGCCCACTGCCTCTGACACAATTTTGTGTCACTGAAGGTCAGACTCCTTGGCTCTGGATTTGTTTTCTCACCTGTATAATGAAAAAAAAAAAACTGAACTAGAAGCTTTGTGTCTAAAGATTTTAAGTCACACATTTCTAGTTTCTATAGAATTAAATAATATGAAAGGTTTAAGGAGGAATAGGGGAGAATGAGCCTAAAATAGGAATCTGAGAGTACATCTAGAGACTTAACTTTGAACATGTCCACTAGTTTATGTGTGTGTCATAGGATTGGTTTAGGGCAGGTGTGTCCCCAACACTTCTGTGTAAAATGACACTTACTGAAAGGTACAATGAGCTGATCATGTGAAGTACCTCTGCTAGGAAAGCTCGTATGTAACCCACATTTCTGCTCGTTCCCCTAAATTAGCTTTCTCTCTGGGTGGGTTGCTTAACCTCTCTGTTCCTTTCATTCCCAGTTTGTAAATTGAGGTGTCCCTTTAACTCTTTTTCTCTCCATACTGGTGACACGTTCCAATCAACAAAGCTTTTCACATTACAAGTGGTCACAGAATAGAACATTCTTGGACATCAGTCTTTTACACTTACATGGATGCTTCAGTAGCCAAAATTCCTAAAGTGAACTTGTAGGTAACCATTTTTAAAATATTTAGATAAGACTGCATATTCTCTGGAATTAGTCATTTTTCTGATACAGTTCTGTGTATCAGGTTCCTATGTTAGAAAAATCAAGAATGCTTTGAGAGAGGTGAGATCATATTAAGAACTTGTATTTCTCAAACACTTCTACAGTCTTAAATGTCTGAATGACTTAAATCAGTGGCAGTTTTGTTTTAAGAATGGGAGGAGGAGGTCAGTGATGTTTACTTAATGAAAGTTGAGCCAAGAGTAAATGTAAGGAAGATGTCACTGGAATAGGTCATCTTGCTTCTCCTGAGTCATTAAGCTAAATCAAATAGGTGCAATTAGAAGGAGCAAATGAGAACAGAAGTTGCAGAAGCTGCCAACAGTAAAAACACTGCAACAGGGCAAGAGCTGCAAACATGTAACAGTTTGGTGGTTTCAAGGACAGGCAAAGGAAATTCGTATTCTTAAAGGAATACAACATGGACAGTCTTAGCAATCTGTGTTCTTTGCAGAATTCCGGTGGATATTTTATTCTACATGTATTCCAGGCAGTGATACAGTGGAATCCTCAAATTTATAACTGAATATTTTCCTAAATCATTTACCCAAATCATATATTTCCATAAATCATATATTACTGTTTTTATTTCTTATTTTACATTCATTGGCAATCTGTAAAGTTCAGCATTAATTATTCCTTGCCTTAAGAGGAAAGAAATGTTTTTCCTATAATTAAATTATAATTACCCCAGACAATTTGAATTAAAATCCCTAGGGGTGAGGCATAGGTATCAATTTCGAAAGCTCCCTAGATGACTCCAATGTGTAGCCAAGGCTAACAACAACTGTTTAATTAGTTAAAAACCTATGGCCCACTTAAATAAATAAAAATCTCAGTGGGAGCAAGTGGAAGCCCAGAAATGTATAGTTTTATAAAAGTCATCAGGAGTATTTTGCTACCCATTTATTGTCAAGAACTGTTCTTTTCAAGAGATGGGGTCTCACTATGTTGCCCAGGCTGGACTTTAACTCCTGGGTGCAAGTGATCCTCCCACCTCTGACTCCCAAGTTGCTGGGACTACAGGCACACACCATCATGCCCAGCTAAGAACTACTGTTCTACAAAGAATGTTTACTAGTCTTTGGAGGGGTGTTTCAATGTTGGAAAGAACATTTTTTATCAGTACCAATTGCAAGGGAGAAAAAGTTTAGGATAAGCACAAATACATGCTAGTCGTGCATATCCCTTTTTCTACCTTGTTCTATGCTTTAAAGAGTGAAAAAAACTCACTTTTCTCTCTGGACCACCTGCCATCCCAACTTGTAGGAAATATCATGCCAAAAACCTCTGTGGGATGTTGCCATATGTCTGTTTTTACCCTTCTAACTCTATTTTGGCATACGACATATATCAGGATTAGGTTTGGGTATGTATTGTTACAAGAAAAAAAATGGCTTAGATTAGTTTTCCTTTTTCATGACAACAGTTCAAGGGTAGACAATCCAAGACTGGAAGTGGTTCCACCATATCCTTCAGGACTGGTGCTTCTATCAGCCTTGTATGCCATTCCCTGGCCCAGGATAACTGCTCAAGCTCCAACTATTGGGTCTGCTTCTAGCCAATAAGAAGGATAAAGGATTGCTGGGTGTGGTGACAGACACCTGTAGTCCCAGCTACTGGGGAGGCTGAGGTGGGAGGATTGCTTGAGCCCAGGAATTTGAGTCCAGTCTGGTGAGACCTCATTTCAAACTGAAGGATAAAAGATCAAAATTGGCAGCATCCTTATTTAAGGACACTGCCTGAGGATAGCTTTTCATACTTCTGTTGGCCTCATGTTGGCCAGAACCTACCACTGGCTGTGTCTAGCTGCAAGAGAAGCTGGGAAACAATCCCTATGTGGGGGCAGCAATGTGTCCATTAAACACAGGGTCTATTACTAGAGGAAAATACATGTTGGGGACAGCTATTTGTCTGCTTCACTGGGTTTGGCACTATTGCCTGTTAAAGGAGCCTCCCAGAGCCTGGAAGAGAGGAAGCGAACTTTTAAGTTCTCTCAAAAAGCAGAATCTAAATTCTGGAGGAGAAAATTCCATATTCCAGATTCCCATTCCTGTGGTTATTTTCATCTAAATAAAAACACCGTTTTTCAGAAAATCATATTGTCCCTGGATACAATTTGGATACAATTAGAGTAAATTCTACTTTCAAACAGCTGCCAGGCAATCTTCTGGCTTAATGTTCAGGGGAACAATTCTTTAACAAGTGTTGTTTGAGTATATAACTTCAAGTTGTAGGGGGTAGGGGGTGGTTGCAAGTACTTAGGTGGAATAGCTTCACCTTCACTATTTTTAGACTTTGTTCTTTTTCTAAACCCAAATCACTAATACTTATCTATTTTGTGTACCTAGTGGTCACCACTTTTTGAAATACAAATAAACTATTGTTTTTAAA